TATTATCATCATCATCATCATCATCACCACCATCATCTCTATTGCTATCATCATTATAATTTATCATCATCATCATCACTATTACTATTAAGGCAACATTTTAACAATTCATTTCTATCATAGTTTTTTAAACTACCAGTATTAATACTATAAACCAYGGTTTTTGCCTGCCACTTTAGCATAAGTATAGAATATCTTACCTAATTTCTGAATATTTGGTGCAGTTCCTCTGCCCAAATAACTATACTTAAAACCATCCATAGATATCAGAATCACAGGATACCTTCATAGGTAAAAAGGACATTCTAAATAAGTTTATTTCTTTTAATAGACTTYATTTAGTGACCAAGGCATTATTTACAGGGGGTATCAAAGCAGTAGCAATCAGATTTGGACAGTGGTCTGGTTTTTAGAAATAGGTGGTTCAGTTTTTTTACAGGAAAAGTTTTGGTGGGGAACTGTGGCTGTAGAAACTAATAATGATTTTTTTTACGAGGGCGAAAACTGGTTGTGAAGGTAAAAAGTGGTGCGTTTAAAACACAAACCAAAAGTACTGGTGGCTATGGCCCTGGGTATAGATTACTCATGCTTTATATATACATAGCTTTATAACATAATCACCTCACTATATATGCACTCAATCTGATTGGCAAAAATTATGCTTTATTCTCAAATAAATTATTGATTTTTTATTTCTATGAAAATGTATGTGAATCAAATTAAGTTTGCCAGAATGCACACCACATACCTTATTTTCCCTTTTGAAAGAAAAGAAAAAAAGCAAATTTAGTAATACACTTTCATATTTTCTTAAACTTAAGTATGTATTAAAATCAAACTACCTTATAAATTAAGTATATATTACCATATTATTATAATATTATTAGCATATAAATAAATCATAAATTAACAGCTGTGGGTTTCATCAAATAATTTTCATGGGCCACATAAAAATTATGGGAATTGATGGGTCTTATATTGGAAATATTTTTTATAATATTGTAATACCTAGTTGTTCATCACRTGCTTTTAATGCCAGTACCACGACAGCAACAACAACAATAATGATCATTATTATTGCAAGAATTCCTATCTGAAATTAAGTTTGCAATTAGTAAGATTCTATTGTCCTAGAATAAACATTTTGCTATCAAAAATATATAAAAATGTAGCACTTACCCCAAGCAATAGCATTTTCCTCTTGCTTAATATCTGAATACAAGATGTATAAAATGTGTAAGAAGCTAGTACAATATAATARGTATGATAAAAAATATATTATTATATAAAAATTTTTTATCACTTTTAAATTTAGCACACACACTACCGCCACATTCGATKTTACTATRCACACAACACTCAGCTCGCTTGTTGATTTTCATGGAGGGAGGAAAACCTGACATCCCAGAGAAAAAAATGTATAAAATGTGTAAGAAGCTAGTACAATATAATAGGTATGATAAAAAATATATTATTATATAAAAATTTTTTATCACTTTTAAATTTAGCACACACACTACCGCCACATTCGATGTTACTATACACACAACACTCAGCTCGCTTGTTGATTTTCATGGAGGGAGGAAAACCTGACATCCCGGAGAATAACCCTTGCAGCAGGCCCATCACTTGGACCTTGAAATACCCGTAGGACCTTAAACCACTGCTAGCAACAGCCCTGTTGTAGCATATAGTATAAAAAAACTCATCAAAAAAACTCTAGCTAGCTTAGGCAAGGGGACTCAGACCTCTCGCCACAAAAGTAGCATTGACGAGAGGCCAATGCATTAGTAGCGTGATCCACCCACACTACCCAATAACTGGTCCTTATTAATTCTACAGTATGCTTGAAAGGTCATTTGTCAAATTCTTTAATTGTATAGTTTAATTTTGAAGGTATAAATCATTAACATGCATAAGGCCGACTGAATTTTCGGATTTTTTTAAAGGTTTGAATTATCAGCTGACCTCCCAGCTTGAATATCCCTAGAAGCTATTATCCTGCATAAACCTGCACCCCTCTAATTTTTGGAATCAAATGTCCTGTTCCTGTAATATTCCTTAAAAATCTTGTATCCCAATAAAGCCATTATGAACAGAAATATAAATGAAAAAATGAAATATATAAAATGCAAAATGAAATATATAAATACATAACATGAGACAAAAATCTTTTCATACATTGATCAATTAATTCAACCATGCATACTTAAATTCATGACTTAATCATCCGAGTATCAATAGTACAAACCGAGGCACAACTAGATTTCTTTTGTGTTTTTCAATTTTTTTTCTTTATTTTGTGTATAAATATGTATTCTTTCAATATGTAAAACACAAGTTGTAAAATAAATAAATAATAATTATAATAATTATAATAAAAAAGAAAGAAAGAAAATACTTATTTGGTCAAATAAATAAAGCTAAATATAAGTTGCAATGAAGGGAATTGGCTAGAGCCTAAATAAACCATTATAGTTTCCTAGTTAAAAAAAATTCAACCATGCATACATGTATATATGAGAACGTCTAATCTAATAAAAAAATATCCAATAATTTTATTAATTTTATAATATTTTCTGGAATTCCAGCACCATGTACTGCTCACCGGTCATGTGCGTGATGTCCCTTAATTTAAGTAAGTGGTGCATGTCACTCTTTTTGAAACTGCATCCAAAATTGACACAGTTGCTAGGGACATATGCAATTTTCTTAAATTAAAACCTTGTGGTTATTCCTATACGATATCTCTAAGAACTAGAGTACATATTAAGGTTTATAAATAGGGTTTTTTTTAACCAAAATGTATTGAAATAATGGCCACTTATTATAGGACAACAGAATCAACAACAGTTCAGCTGGTGYTGAACACCAAAAAACACAATGTTACAAAGTCCTTCACTTTCGATGCCATCGACTTAAGCACAGAGCTAAAGGAATATCAGTTCTCCCAGCTATTTTTCTTAGCAAGCCCAGGATAAGTAAAAACGTTACAGTAACGCTTTGAACCCCAAGAAGTCATAAAGATTCGGTTGATATTCGTTACAGGATTTTTTTTTAAATGTGTACATACAGTTGGCTGGTCGACTTTCACTTTATATATATGTGCACGAGAGTCATCAGACTCTAAGACGAGAGTTGAATCTTTCAGCTTGCTCATTTTGCAGGAGATGTTGACACCAACTCTGTAACGGGAACTATTACATCGACTACTACATATTATAAGTTAGCGTTTCAGTCGTAACAAAGCCTTGGTATTCGTCACATCCGGGTAGGTTATTAAAAACGTTTCCCAGTACGTCATTCCGGTTTCTTGCGGAATTTTGGCAAAAGAAAATGGACACATTGAAGTGTTTTTCAAGTCAAGGGCTTGAATAAGGAACTGCTTTTAGCGTATTTCAATGTCATCTGAACCATGTTTCCTTGTCTTTCTAGATAACCTTCCGAGACGGATTTCCTTCACTTCCGCCGGAAACAGCTAACTATAGTAAGAACACTATGACATGCTAACAAGGCTCTTTACCATGCAAAGAATATTGATGAAGTAGAGTGCATTCAGTCAAACTGTTGAAAAGTGTACATCACCTAAATTAGATAAGTAAGTTACTATTTTAGACTAGCTGACGTCAACTAATGATTCGAAACTGCGAGTAAACAGCTACTGAGATCAGGGGGAGAAACGATGATACAAATGAATGTCTATTCACTCATTCTCTGGTAAAGCAACCCCCGGATTAGCATGACCGTTTTTTGCCGCGCTTTTACTATTTTAGGTGACGTCAACTAAATAGTTATCTAAGTTAGATACGTTTATCTAACTATTCAACATTGACTGAATGCACTCTATAGGAATAATAATTTTAGTCTTGAATGCATGTATAGAGTTTTTCGAGCTGTGATTGGTCRAGCAACCAGTGATTCTGGAGACGAAATCACTTGAGGTGTCTTGAGGTTTTCTAAAGTTTGCCAGAGTGGAAGTGATACTAAAACGTTTTTTTTTTTTTTGGATCCTGAATTTTGTCTTTTCTCTGTTATTCAAATCTAAAATTATACTAAAATAATTACTTACCTCAGGGGAGACTTTCAGCCCGGTAAATATTCACCTATAGAATTAACTTCGCCTTCGGAGAATAATTGTGAAATATGGTAGTATTAGGAATGTCAGTGTGCCCGGCGCCCGTTGCCCTTTGCCCAAAGACCCCGAAAATAAACTCAGGGACCAAGTACACTTTCAATATATGTTTTGTCCTGGCTCTAGCGTGCCTCGGCAGCCATTCTCCCCCTCACCAAGAAAGATTTAGGCCCCTTCTATCAGTGTCTATATAAAGAACACGCTTGTGGAGGCAAACGCTGTTGGCGTCAACCGAGGTTAAGCTGATATACTTCCCGTTGTTCGACCATATGTAATAAAATTAATATAAAAGAGATTAGTGCGCAGCTCTAAGGTGGTTTATTTGTCTTTGCTTGGAACATGAAAATACAAGCTGAACTACTACGTGTCGTATCAATTTAAAAATAATCGCGATATTGTAAGGTTTGTAGAAAGCCGTGCCGTGCCGTGCAGTGCATTGACTGTGGCAAAGCGTAATAATAACAGATTAATAAGAATAATAAGATCAATAATGAAGACGATACCGATGAGCAAAAAGTAGTCTAGTAAATGACGGAATTAAAATTTAGTCGGTTTTGTCATCCAATATGGCGGGGCGATAGATGATCAGGTGACCCAAATTCATTTCCTTGATGTACTTTGTTATACACCATTGATTTGAAAAGGAAGGGAGGAAACTGTAGAGTATATTCAATTTTGTAATTTTATTATAATATTAGTTTTGCGTTAAAATATAATTCTGATTGCGGGACTACAAAATATCGATACATATATACAAATAATATTTACCAGAAGTAACCTTTTTGATTTTATAGCATTTTCTCGTGCTTTTAAATATGGTATGACCTGATTTGATCCGTCTCATACTTGTTCCAAGAGCCTGCATCCATGCTAAATAATATCATAGAGCTCTCGACCAATCAATTAGCGAGATTGAAACGCACATCGTCCAATCACAATGCTTGAATTGAAGGAACCTTCTTATTGTTCATCATCCAATCACAGTGCTTGGATTTTGGAAAGCCATTTCACTTTAAACCAATCAGACAATGTATACGTACTTGAATTTTGGAAGTCCTATTTTAGTTTAAACCATCCAACACTAATAATATGAAAACAACGGCAACCGGTCAAACCGATCAAAACCATTAGCTATGTCCTATATTCCATTCTTCATAAATGATGCATTTTTCAAATGGTGTGAAAATGGGCCAGAATTGAAGAAAACCATGGGCTACAGTCCATGCTTTTTTGCAAAAATGACCAAAATTTAAGATAAGCATTGTTTTCGATAAAGTATAATTCCTTTGGCTTACTGACGTAATTGAATGTTTTTAACCTTTTTGACTATCTTGGGAAATTTTTCTACTTTTGGACTATTTCACTTATTAGTACCTTTACTATAAATGTTGAAAGATCTCAAGCACTTTACATACTCAGTGAGTGACCACTTTAATAGTAAGATCTTGAAAACTGGGCTGTGAARTGAAAATGACTGTGGTGAGTGGCAGCAACATTTATACGTGTGCTCTTTTAGATTATGTCGTCGAAGATATTAACTATCTGTAGCTTGCTACTCGAGAAAAAATAAAGTTCACGTATGTAATTTAGTAAAATGCCTTTGGTTTACTAACCTAAATGAATGTTACCATTTTGGTCACCTTTTGTTATATATACATATATATTAAATTGGTTTATTTTGTGACGGCACTATATTTCAAATGCCGCGACAGCGCGAGTTCGTTGAGTTAACGCAAAGGAATGAGAACGGAGAGTAACTTTACAAAACAATTTATTGAATCGCAYGACTGAATAATTTTAACTAATACAACTTGAAATCGTAAAYATCACACGCTAGGAAAATAAATATCACTAAGTAACCAATACCAATCACACATACTAAGCGATTAAATATAGGATATCACACTTCTAAATTAACTCACTAYTTTGGTTACACTCYACACTCGGTAACAAGAGAAGAGGTGCACTCATACCTTATAAAGTTGTTGGAAGCGTAC